GTCGAGAAATCTAACCTGTGAGGATTGAATCACTTTCAGCGATGTCTAAACTACAAAAGACATGTGACTTCCTCGTCGAAACTCGTCAGCGTTAGAGGCAGAACTTTTAAAGAAATTTTAAATCATTTTTTTTCGCCCATACCATCGTATCCAAAGAAGCGTGTTTACGGAAGTGTTTTATTGGGAATAAAATATCCCTTTTTTTTACTCGAATGGAATTGATGGAGTGGATTTTATTTCAAAGAAAGCTTTGTTTGATATTGATCGAAGAATATGATGTTGAAACATAAGCGATAATCTGTCTCGACATTTACATGATATTAGCAAAAAGTAAGGACTACACTGAGAAAAATTTCCGGGCTTTATCCATTCAAAAAGTAACAAACAGATATTTTGGATTGATTTTGATCGGATTTATAAGACTATCCGATCAAATTTATCGGATAGTCCTATAAATCCGATAAATTTGATCGGATAGTTCTAAAATTTGATCGGATAGTCTTATAAATCCGATCAAAATCAATCGGAAATATCTGTTTGTTACTTTTTGAACGGTTATTTTTCTCAGTGTATACATTAGAAAAAAAAATTTAGTGCCTTCAATAAAACTGGTATTTTTTAATAGTAACCAAATATTTTGTTTATACGATAAAAAATATAGTTGCTTTTGCTCAATACACTTTCCAATTTTTTAAATAATAAAAATATTTGTTTATACTGACTAAACTGTTTTCGTATAAATGAATATTTTTGTTACTGTTATCGGAGAAACTGAAATATTTGGTTGTGCTGTTAAAAAATGCCTAAACTAAACAGTTTTATAAAAGATACAAAGTTTTTTTCTTAGTGTATGTCAATATCTAGTATTTAATACATATATGAAAGGATTTATGTTATGTCATTCTCTTACTTAAAAAAAATGAGAAAATTCAAAAAACGTGATTTTTGAGTCATTATTATATAAATAAGTTAGATAAATATTACCCTATCAATCATCAAAAGTGGAACTAATTTAACTTTATAAAAAATCGTTAAGAACGTCACAATTCAAAAAGAATTTTTAAAGAAATTGTTAAAATCGTGTCAATTTAAAAGAGTGGTTTTTTTAAGGGTTGAAATGAAAATGACAAAAATGATATTTGATCAGGTTAAGAATTCTTTTTGTCGATATTATATGCTTAGCCAATAATTCTATCAAGTTGGAAAATAGTTTTTCCTCTTTTCTAGGAAACTTAATTTTTTTAGTTGTATCACACCTTTAAAATAAAGGAGCGATATGTAATTTTTATACATTAGGGAGTTTTTGCAATAACGTGAATTCGGATACAGTGAAGTCACGTTATCCTTTTCTTAATTAGTTGTTACGAAGAAGATAATCTGACCTTAGAAGATAACCTGACGTTCACCGTATCTGGAATAAACGGTATTGCAAAAACTTTCTAAAAAGAAATTAAAACAACTTCTTAATTTAACTTAATCAACTATGACTTTCGGTTTACGATGCTAAATTACGTACTAAATGTCAAACGAAGTTGTGTTTCTTGGGTTTCTTCCTTTGCGTTACACGTTACGCTTTCATCGTAGATCCGATTGATTTACTTCAACGAGAAAGAAAAGTTTACTGTGCATAAGATGTATACGAGAACGACGATGGAGGTTAATGAAGCTCTCTCGGTCGCGTAAGGTCTCGTAGTTGGCGGAAAAAAAGGAGCAAAAGCTGCAGGAGGTTCGAACGACGCACGCTCGATGTTATCGGTTCTTCGTTCTTCGCGCGTAAGGATGAACGATGATTTGTCGAGCGAGTCTGCGAGACACAAGAGAGCCGCATAAATTCTTATTAGCGCGGTGTTACGGCGGCTCATAAAAATCCATCGCCGCAATCTGCCTGTCTCGAGACTACTTTCGATATTCCGATACGATTCAAGTGTATAGTAAACTAATATTATAGTATAACATAGTGTCTTGTTGTGGGTATTATTTTTCTTATTATTATTATTATTATTATTATAAGAAATCTTCTCATTATTCATAATATAAAAGTTAAAAGGCAACGCATTTTATTTCATAGTATTTTTAACTTTTAATTATATTTTACTCTAGATAGTCTCTAGATATTGTCTAACGTATTTTTATAGTATAGAAATTATTATAGCTTTCCATGAAGTTATTATCTGTTATTGAGGAAACGTTTTCTTGATTATTAATACATATTTGTCGTATTCAATATCGAGCAGTTAATAAGAATTATGCATGTAACGAAAGCAATATACACTTCCTTTCTACTTTTATTTTACAAATGAAAATCATTTGACATAAATAATAAGTAATTAAATTCGACATCATGAAATGATTTTGAAATTCGATATTTCGACGACAATTTAAAGAAAACTCCCGTTTTGATTGTAAATCATTTTCAACGACCTTTATCTATGATCATCAAGTTATATTCATAACTGAATCAAATTTCATTAAATTGTACCATAGATCTTTTTGAACGTTTTGATGTATTTTTGTTTACAAAATTGGTATAATCGATTTACAATCTAAAGGAATTCTGAAGTTTTAAGTGCCAAACTTTCGTTTAATCTAAAAATAAATGTAAAAGTTTTTTTAATCAATTATACGTAATTAAATTGATTTTAAGTGATAGGTACAGATTTTTTCAGATTTTTATGATTTTGATGTTAATATTTAAAAGTAAAATTGACTATTTACAGAACCAGTGTCTAGAAGAAGACGTGAACGGAAGGATGTCCTCTCGAAAATGCAAAAGATCCTCGGCCCGTTAGGAATGCTTCATGGATGCATGGAAAATAAAATCCGAGTTAGGGTAGGTCATCGATTAATTTTTCCCCTAATCGTTGATATTTTATATATTTTGTAAAACTCTCTCAGGCGATTTTTTTTTTCAATAAAAAGCGCGAATTTTCATTAAATAACATAAAAATGATTTTAAATTATATAGATTTTTTTAGATTCTAGAGAGATTTTACACAGATTAAAGAATAATTCTCTTGTTGTATTGTAGAAATTCATCAAAATTATATTTATTATATTCAAAGACTTAAATTACTCTCATTTCATCAATCTTCCGCTTATTTTACGCTTCTAGAGAGTAAAAACAATGTACGTTTTCAAACACAAATTTTCAGAACAGATATTTTCTTCTATCGCAATTTCCCAGGGTATAAAACACGCTCTTCCTAATCCTTTACGTCTTAGCCAAAAAAGCAATCCTAAAAAAGAGCACTTCTCGTCCGTCCTTTTTTTCCGCAGTTCTTTCCCTTCCATCATTTCTTTTCCATCCATCCAACCCCTAACACCCTAACACTGTACGTGTACGCATACACGGCTGACACACTTTCGCAACCGGGTGACACATACGCGAAATCACCCTTAGCGAGGAGATATTCGAAGGGCGATGAGACTCACCCTTCGTCGAGAAACACGATCGGGGAGGAAAAAAAAGCATTCGGGTCAACACTAGTAACCATGGTGACCCAACAGGACGCTCTAGTCACCTCTGTTTACGTTCCTGACATGTCGTTATCGTACGACAAACGATTCAACTGCACAAGACGAGAGTCGGAACAGGGTTGCACTGCTGCACAATGCTGCTCTAAAATTTATCCCTTAAATTTTAAGTACACACAGTCGATTTTATCGGGAGAATACAATTTGGAGTACGATATTCTTCGGAAACTATTACTCATCATTGCATATAAAATCTTTTATTCTAAAAGACACAATTTCCATGGAATGTTAAAAAAAAGTTTTTCAATTTCTATTTCATTTCCTTTAAAATTAATTACCAGAGTCGTAAATACAATACTTTGTATATGTGAAACAATAATATGATTCGTATAAGATTAATATTTTACGAAGAGAGTACTTTTATGAAGACAATACTTTTACTGACAATACTATGACGTCGAGCAGTGTTCGACGTCCGTTCGCAAAGGATTAATATATGTAATACAGCATCCTCAATTTATTTCATTTTGAAATTAAAAAAGAAGGTAAAAGCAAAAAAAAGGACTAATAAAATACTAAAATTATTATAAAAATGAATATTTTTTCAATAAAACAAGAAATTTTTCAAAAAAAATAAATTTTTTAATTTATTTTTCGTTAGAATGTTTATGTCAATTTGTGCCAAACATTTTTCAAGAACAACAATTTTTAAATATAGATGACAATCTGAGAAATCTATCCCTGTCATTTGATAATTGTAATATATGTACAGAATCAACGTCCTCGAGACGTTGTACAATCAATCCGGTAGTGAACGCCCGTCCCCGTGGAAAGTTGTAAAATTGCAACATGATGTGTACGCTGATAAATCATCATCATACTTATCTAATCGCATCCGATGATTTCTCGCAGCGCGGCGCGCTTAATGGTCGCCGCCGCGCGCTAAGGACGGCTAATAATAGAACAATGAGATAGAGTAAAGAAAAATAAAAATCAAATTGATTTAATTGGGCTTCCGCCGAACGGAAGTGGATATCTTTAACAACAAGGATGGAGTTCCCGATTAGCCTCCTTCCGCAAGCTTAAATTAAATACATTAACTTTCATCGTCATTGCGTTCCTTAAGACTCGTGTTGTCTTTCAAATCGTCCTCGACGGTAGATCCTAATCTCCTGTGACCTTCGAACGCATCCGGAAAGAAGATTTTATCTTAGCAAATCAATCACACTCGACCTTCAACCGTTCAAATTGCCGAGGAAAGCACGTGGTTTTTTCTTCTTTATATCAAGTCATTCAAACTCATCTCGTCGCGAATATAAGTGCATTGAGAAAAAAATCGCGAGAGAGACGTTCGATCATGTTGATTGAATAATCGGATAGCTAACGTTTCTGAGATTTATTATCCATGTATATTGCTGGTGTGAAGAAAAAGTCAATTTACACATCTAACAGTTTGCGTGTATAACATAATGTAGAATTATCTTGTTTTGAAAAGTAAATTGAAATAACAAAATCGCTAAAGCTAAAGCGACCCCTCACAAAAGATAGTTTTGCTGAAATATCTAAAAATTTAGCTACACTCTTAACTTTGTATCGCGTTATAAATACAGATATGAAAATAATTTTGTTGAACCATCAAAATAATTATGTAGGACGCTCAAACTGATTGCTAGAATATCGAAACTTTTTGTAACATTGCTCATCGCGATTGAGATTCCTACGTAATTATTTTAAAGGGCCAACAAAATTATTTTCAGATATGTATATTAGCTAAATTTTTAGATAATTCAGAAAAATCGTTCTTTCCGTGTAGACGACCTATATTATACAAAATAATTGTACAATAATATTCAGCGTCTAAGGGCCGCTTAAAGATGGCAAAAACAATATGCAAGAGAATTCTCGCGTTGAACAAGGATTTTGGCAAAAATTCATGTAGAATCTAATCGAGTCGATCAGATCGCAGCCTCGAGCACTTCCGAAATTTTCCGGTCTAATTGAATCCATATCTTGCCACCGAATCGCCCTCGATATCTCATTGCCGCGATCTCTCGATCAATGAAATCCTTGAATCCACAGTCAAGAAAATCCTGATACATCAAACGCGCAAAATCGTCGCTATTCCAAAACAACAATTAACTCTAATGACACCATATTTCCATCACATCCGCAATTGATGATTAGATGTAGTCGTTTAATCAAAGTGAAAACAGAAAAATAAGTTGTGTCGAATTAATTCACGATTATACAAACAAATGGGCAAAATGACTCTATTAGATCATCATTCATGTAAAAACGAAACACGCGGAAAAGCTAAGACGCGCGCGAGTTCTGTTACCTTGAAACGGCGAAGATCGGACTCCTCGTTGGCAGTCGGTCTTGGGAACTCCTAGAATCGATTCTGGTTAATTCGCGGACATCACTGGCGACTCATTGACTCGCGATGACATACACGTACACAAGTCCGAGGCTTGCAATTAGTTCTCATTGCGGCAAAGCCGCCTGTTGCACGTATATTTGCACTGCAGCACGAAAGGCATTGAAGGGAGCCTTGTTGCCTGCACTTCCGCGTATCAGACCACTATCTTGTCTCTTGTAGCCATATCTATGCGGCAAGCAACGCTTTTTCTCGCAGACCTTCCTCAACCAGGCGCAATGTGTGTGTCTTTAATGAATTTTATCGTCTTATTAAAATATTATGCTGAATATTATCACTCTCTCTACGTATTATCTTCAAATACGATATGCAGCGATGCCGAAATTCGAGTTTTGTGAGCTCCAATTTAGGCTGAAAAAAGATCGAAACTTGAATTTTTAGACAAAACATTGTGAAATAAAATAGGAAAAAAGAGATTGGGATTCAAAATAAATAACGCTACTGATCTACAAATGCGCTGATAATTATATATTGTATGATAACAGAAACAATTAAAATTAACACTAATTGTATTCGTAATTATGATCGCAATTAGTGTCACTTTTAGTTGTCTAGACTACGTAATTTGTTAGCCGTACAAAAGTGTAATGAATGTGGAGCATATGCGAAGAAAAAAGAATTGACTCAATTGTATCGCATAACAGTTTACACAATAGTCAAATACGAATTAGACACTCCTCGCGAGAAACTTCAATGATAAAAAGTCGGTTTAGCTCTTTTATAGACTCATTTCACGTGACACATTATCCTAATCTAACTGATATAGATTTAATCCTTCATTACTCGCGTGGAATGTTCAAAACATGCATTCCTACTTTAGGTATACATTTGCTAAATAAAATGAGTACTACTTATATACACATTGTATTTATACGTTAGGTACGTTCCGTTTTGCGCTTACACTTGTAAGCATCATTTGTACTTATTTAATATTTAATAGACAACAAGGATGAACTGATATGCTTACAGCACGTGAGCGTGAAAACGGAACGTATCCATTACACACATATTTAGCGCAAATTGTTTAACACAATTTTTTAAAATGTTTGCATTTACTTTATCTAAAGGATATATATCAATCAAATATTATCAATTTTTATTTAAATATAAATCCTTACAAATATAACAATGAAAATTGACATATGATACTGGAATGTCAAAAACACGCAAATAATTATGATAAAAAAATCCACAAGAGTGATGCAGGTTAACAACGTATGCTTGAACTTTGTTACTTCATATTTCGGTGACGCGATTCAAATGACTCGTTGATGATAATCAAAAGAGAAGAGGGAATGCCGATTGTCGTCTCTTCTCGGCGAAAACGTCTTTACCTGGAACACAAGGACTCGTCGCGATCTAAAAGGAATAATCAACCGTTCTTTGTGTCGAAGGTCTACACCAGGAACGCGTACGGCATAAGGGGACATGTGGAAGCATACGTGGCCGCCTTCGACAAGTTCTGGAACCTCGCACTCGAGGACTGCTTCGAGGTCTGGTCCCGTAAAGTCAAGAGGAAAGCACCCGCTGTCGGTACGATTATCTTATTACATATAATCTATCAAAGGCCATCATCGTAATATACTTTTATTAAACGATAATTGTTTTTACTTTCTCTTTAATATACGAGAACCGTCGATGGTGCCATTTTGGGTCCGCTTTTGAATCATTTCAATTTTTTCTTTTTTTATATTAAATATACAATAGAGTATAAAAATATTAATATAAAAGAAATAAAATAAAATAATAATAAGGTTCAATATGTATAAAACGAAATGAATATTAAAAGGGCATAGAACCAATATTTTAACAAACAATTATAATTAAAATAAT